GGGGCCCCCAGAACACGGCCAGCGCCTGGAACACCTGGCCAAGGAGCTTTTCCCGGGCAGTTCGCGGGGCTGCGAGGCCTTCCTGCGGCACAAGGTGGCTCTCATCTCGCCCACTGTCCTCAAGGAGAACGGGATCCCCTTCAGTCGGATGACTCAGGAGGCTGGCGAGTTCATGGTGACGTTTCCCTACGGCTACCACGCTGGCTTCAACCACGGCTTCAACTGCGCGGAGGCCATCAATTTCGCCACCCCGCGGTGGATCGACTATGGCAAAGTGGCCTCTCAGTGCAGCTGCGGGGAGGCCAGGGTCAGCTTCTCCATGGACGCCTTCGTGCGCATCCTGCAGCCCGAGCGCTACGAGCTGTGGAAACGCTGGCAGGACCGGGCCGTCGTGGACCACGTGGAGCCCACGGCGCTGGGCAGCCGGGAGCTGAGCGCCTGGAGGGAAGGACGTGCGCCCGGGAGAGCCGCGCTGGGCCTGAGGCACCTCCCGCCTCGCCGGGCCCCGCGCACCGCTCGGCCGGTGGCCGCTGGCAGTGGACCCCGCGGCTGCACCCGGGTGCGCCAGGAGTCCCCGCGTCCCCAGTCGGCCCGGGTTTCTGCCTCTGCCTCCCAGTCCAGGGCTGCTGAGGCCCACAGCTCTCTGTTGCCCGACCCATCCCGGCCGCCAACCTCGGGGCGGTCTGCAGCAGATCTCCAGGCAACTGGCAGACGTGGTCGTGGTCGTGGTCGTCGTCCTCGGGAAAGAGGCAGTCAAGAGTCTGTTGTCCAGGCCCGGGCTAAGAGGCGCCTCTCAGGGGGTACAGCGCGCACAGCTCCGGACCGCAAGATCCAGCCTCTGCCTGCTGCTAAACGCTGGAAGGACAGCCCTGCACCGCTGAACCCTGGACCCCTGCATCCTGCAAAGGCTTCTGGGTGTTGTTGTGCCCCTGATCTTCAATTCCTGGGGCCCCCATTAGATCCCGATGAACCGATGCACCCTGGCCAGTGCCTGCTATCTCTGGACAGTATTACAGCCAATTTCCTTGACGATGTCCCACTAACTCCTCCCATTGTCACTGGGACTCTGACATGGTTCTCCAGGGACGCTGTTGGAGACTGCAAGGCCCCTGTGAACCTCGCTGAGCTCGTAAGGATGGATCACCCTTATGCCTCTATGGTCCTGGCGCCCAGTGCAGTTGCCAAAATCTCTTAGGTCCCTGACTGTGATCGTCTAGGGCTAAAGCCAGAGGCAGCTGCATCTCTTGGGTCCTGGAACAAGTTCACAACCAGTGGATGGTCTTCAGCCTTTGAGCCCATGGCTATTGAAGATTTTGCCAAATATGACTATATCTGACCCTCAACACTGGGAACCCCAGAAGCTCCCAGCCAAGCAACAGTCTGTGCTGGGCCGGTCCCCAGTCAAGGTGCTGTATCTCCCAGAAATGACACATTTCCTAAGCCGCCAGATATTTCTACTATTAAGACAAACAGAGCTCCTAGTTGCCACTGAAGTGGACCTCCCCACCCAGACAGCTGCGATAGAATGCTACACTACCTCTCAGAGATTCTCAGCTGGCTCCTGAATATTGATAGGCCTTTGGCCTCTGTCTTGCCCTAGAAGCCGTGGACACTGCTTGCTTTGATGGCACCTTCAGGATACCTCCCCTTCAGTGGGATGCCTTGATAAGGAGAAAATTCTGAGATGCCCTAAATTAAAGTACAGAAGCAGTAGAGTGAGAGAGACAAAACTGTTAGTCTGTTAATGGCTGCTTGCCAGCTAAAAAAGACTTCTCACATTCCTGTGGATATCTGTTGGAACTTCAGGTTAATTTCAATGTGCCTATTTCTGTAGATTATTTTAGGTAGGTATCATCTAACTCCAGGAACCTCTGCTTGTTGTTTACATGTGGGCTTTCCGCACTGCTACCCACTGCCAATTTACGGGAGCAGACTCTGCACCTATCCTAGAGCTGACCCAGCTTCATCTTCTCCCACCCCTTTGCCTATAGTTAATGTAAATTTCTTTCAGACTACCTCCTACTTGTGTATAAAAATGCTTGCAAAATTCTGGGACAACAGACACGTTATGTTGTCTTTTCTATCTAGCCATGCTGCTCGTGGTTTATGCCCCAAGACTGATCTTCCTTGTGTCTAGCATCTTGGCTCAATAAAACCTTACTTATGAAAAGACTTTTAGCCCTGGAAGTTAAGGATTTTTGGTTTAACATCCTCTGACCCCCACAATAATTTGGGGTGACATTGGATGATGCTGAGAATCTGGCTCAGCCCCTTCATCCCCAAGTAGCACCTAGGCCTCTGGACCCCTGGCTTCCACTGGACATTGCTACAGCCACAAGTGGGCCCCAGGAGCTTCTCATAATCCCACAATTCTAACATACCCTACCTCCCAGGCCAACACGCAGGCCACTGTTCATGCTGAAACTAGACATATTGCCCAATGAATCTGTCATCCAGATCTGCCTCAGGGATGTTTGTAATTTTTATTAATGTTTATTAAAGTTATTATCCCTAGTGTGTATCTGCAAAACAAAAAAGGTAAATCTTTAAAATATGTTTTTAAAATCAGAATTATATAAAAGAAGTATATTTTATTAAAAACTAGACAACAGGTCCAAAATGGAGTCACTTATGCTAAGCCTCACATCACCAAACCAAGACTTAAATACAGTTTCCATTCTTCCAGAAATGGAATCTTGAACCAGTCAATCAGGAATCACCTGTTTTCCTAAAGGAAAAAAACCTTACATTATCTAACTCGCTTTTTTTTTTTACCTAGTTTAACTTCCTTGTTACCGCTCCCTTTTTCCTGTAAAAGACTTTAATTTTGTACAGCTCCTTAGAGCTCCTTCTATCTGCTAGACTGGATGCTGCCCAATTGAAATCAATTTTTGTTCAAATAAATCCTTAAAATTTTTAATATGCCTCAGTTTATCTTTTAACAATCTAAAACAAAGTGATTCAGAAAAGTTGAAAGTAAAGAACAGGCAAAAACTCTATTAAGAAAAAGACAAACAGAAAGCAGGAGTATTGCTCTAAATATCAAACAAATTAGAATTGAGGCTGGAAGTTACACCGAAGGGCTCTTTATAATGCTAAAGACTAAATTTCACCTTGAAAATATGGCGGTCGCAAATATCCATTCAACTTTGATAAAGTATAAATTATAAGAAATAAAACAAAAGCAACACATTAAAAATAGGATGTTTTTATGTGATATTATGATTTATAATACGAAATACATATTTGGTCTTAGCACCTGTTTCTGGCATAAAGCTCTTAAAACCCTTGGAATTTCCCAAATGATGAGAGCAATCATGGTGTCTTTTGTTGTGTTAATGAGATTACCTTTGGAATGCCCCTAGTCACCTAAGGGTGAGGGTTAGTCACCAGAGAAACTAACAATGTGATTAGAGGGTTGAAACTTTAAGTCCCGCCCTCCACCCCCTAGCCTCATCCCCTGAGAGAGGAAAGGGGCTGGAGGTTAAATCAATCACCAAGTGGCGATGATTTAATCAGTAAAGATAAAACCTCCGTAAAGAGTCAAAAAGATAAGGTTCGGGGACCTTCTGCATTGGTGAACATATGGAGGTGTTGGGAGAGTTGGCGATTCTGGAGAGGACGTAGAAGTTCCTTTTCCCCATACGTTGCCCCATCCATCTCTTCGATCTGGCTGTTCCTGAGCCTTTTATAACAAATTGATAATCCAGTAAGTAAAATGTTTTCTGAGTTCTGTGAGACATTCTAGCATATTAATAAAATCCATGGAGAGGCTATGGGAAACTCTGATATATAGCCTGTCAGTCAGAAGTACGTGGGCTTGTGACTGGCATCAGAAGGGCTGAGGGTGGTCTTGCAGCACTGAGCCCTTAACCTGGGGGATCTGATGCTGTCTACAGTTTGATAGTATCAGAATTGAGTTTAATTGTAGGACAGCCTCCTGGGGTCCTGAGCACTGTTGGTATTGGTACATTGGAATTGGGTGTTCAGCACTCCCTTTTACCTCACTTATTGCAAGACAGATAAAATAGATAAGCTTAAGGATACAGAAAACTTGAACAATGTTAACAATAAGGTAGAATTTATGTACCAGGTAATAGAATACTCTCTTTTGTCAAATGCCAATAGATCAATTACAAAATTGACACTATATTAAGGTGAAAGGAATACATCAATAAATTCCAAAGCAGAAAAAAAAATCAGACTTCTAATTTTCATACAATAAAACTAGACATTAATTTTAAAAATCAGAAAATAGAGAGAGCTTCTTTCTGGAAAGTTAAAAATTCTCAGTTGAATGACTTGTAGATTAGAGGAACACAGGAAACAAAGAAACAAAATATTTGTTAACTCTATGAACTCTGTAGCCAGACTGCCTGGCTTTGGATTCCTGATTCACTCTTACCAGTTTGTGTGACCTTGGCAAATTACTTAGTAATAGCACCTATCTCATATGATTGATATGATAGTTCTATAAATGAATATTTGTAAAGCACTAGGATGGATACCTGGGACACAATAAACATTACTGAAGTGCTTTTAGGTTTAAAAATGAACAAGATATACATAGGAATATGTGAGATTTAGTTAAAATAGTACTGAAGGAAATTTTACAGCCTCATGCATGTTTTTATCAATAAAATTGAAAGAATGAAATTAACTGGATTAAGCTTCTATCTCACAAAATTAGAAAAAAAAAGCAAACTAAAAAAAGCAGCAAGAAGGAATTAATAAAGTTATACACAGAGATAAATGAATTAAAAAAAACCATAATATAACTAATAAACCAACAAAAGTTCAGATAATATGAATACTTTTCTAGGAAAAATTAACTAAAACTTATTTCAGAAGAGTTAGAAAATCTAAGTCATAAATTTCTATGTTAAGAAATATATTACGTTCATGCTATCCTTATGTGCCCGATCTCATCTGATTTAGGAAGCTAACGGCAGGGTTGGGCCTGGTTAGTACTTGGATGGGAGACCACCTAGGAATACCAGGTGCTGTAGGCATAAAAAAAAAAAAAAAGAAATATAGAAAGACATGTGAAGGACCTATATAATGAAAACTACAAAACTCTATTAAAAGAAATTGAAGAAGATACAAAGAAATGGAAAGATTCCGTGTTCTTGAATTAGAAGAATCAACATAGTTAAAATGACCATATTACCTAAAGCATTATACAGATTTAATGCAATCCCCATCAAAATCCCATCGGCATTTTTTAAAGAAATAGAACAAAAAAAATCATCAGATTTGTATGGAAGCACAAAAGACCCCGAATTGCCAAAGCCATCTGAGGAAAAAGAACGAGGCTGGAGGCATCACTCTGCCCGACTTCAGATTATATCTCAAAGTGACAATAATCAAAATGGCATGGTATTGTCAGAAAAACAGACACACGGACCAGCGAGAACAGAATCAAGAGTTCAGAAGTAAATCCATATTTATATGGACAAATAATTTTCAACAAAAGAAGCAAAAAAATACAGTGGAGAAAGGAAAGCCTCTTTAATAAATGGTGCTGGGAAAACTAGAAAGCCACCGGCAAAAGAATGAAACTAGAATGTTGTCTATCACCACATACCAAAATTAACTCAAAATGGATTAAGGACCTGAATATAAGACCTGAAACAATAAAATGCATAGAAGAAAAAATAAGAACTAAGCTGACG